GGGGAAGGGGGAGGTCAGGCAGAGCCGCCATTTCCCGCGGCCCCTGCCAGCGTGAGGAGAGGAACGGAAGAACGCGGAGGGCACACTGCCTGGCTAGTAGGATGGAGGTCGGCCGGGCAGGGCTGCGAGGAGTAGGGGCAGGGTCCCCGGCACTCACGCTGCGCTCCGCTCCTGCGGTCAAACACGCTCCTTCTCTCTCGCTCGCGACTGACAGAGAACCGGAAGTGACGGCAACCAAGAGACGCCGGCCCCGCCCCGCAGGGACCGCGGGCACGTGACGGGGCGTGGCTTCCCCACCGTAACCAACACCTATACCCTTTCCAGGGCCTTAAAGGGACCGTCCCTCGTCCCCAGTGGTTGCCGCGAAAGTGAGATGCTGCAAGGTTATATCTAGGCCTGTGAATAAGTGAGGGAGCAAATCAGACATGAATGCTAAACACCGAGCTTTGCACCTGGTTGATAAACGTTTGCTCTATTGAACGAAGAAGCCATACTGAAAAAGAAAAACCTCTAACCCACTTTTCCAGAAATGATCTTCCTCCTACCCCACCTACTCCCCTTCGTATATCACTCTGGCTGCTGAAATCCAAAGTCAGGAAGCCAAAGTCACGCGTTTAATTCCGGAAACCGCAAGAAATATTTGCAGAAGTCCTTGGTCACAACTCTATTCCTCAGTTGAAGTCCTGGAAATGTAAGGTAGTTCACAGAATGTAAGAGAAATCCACATACAAGCTGAAATATAGTTCACAGAATATAAGAGAAATCCACATACAAGCTGAAATATAGCTAATAGATTATTTGAATATATATTTGGTGAATGCCCCCTGTATCCAAAAATAAATGCAAAGTTGTATTTATTAAACAAAGATTTGTCAAGCTCTCACTGTGTGCCAGACAATGCATGAGGCACTTTATATATATTCCTCATCCCAACAAGCACATTCCAAGGTAGGAATGATCATTCTCTGCATTTTATAGATGAGGAAACCAAGGTCAAGTAAGTTGCCAGAGGTGATTGAGTCATGATTCAAACCCTGCACAGTTCAAGTCACACTGCTACTTTCTGAGAGGGTATGGAAAAGCCCTAGCCCACTCTTACTTTATGCTGCCAAGCTAGATAAATGCTTTTGTAAAATGAAACATTTACTTTGTAGTTTCTTTTATATTAAGTTCCAAATACAGGCAAAAATAACACATGCAGATGGAGGTCAGGTTACCACTTGGATATCACTTGGACACAAGTATGAAGGAACCTACCAAGGTGCTAAAAATATCTTGGTCTAGGTGGTAAATGCAAAGGTATATACGGATGTAAATTTTTACTTAGCATTTGTAAACATTACAGTATATAAGATAGACCAGTCAGAAAATTGAAATAGAAAGCAAAAACTAGCCGGGCTCGGTGGCTCAGCCTGTAATCCCAGCGCTTTGGGAGGCTGAGGTGAGTGGATTGCTTGAGTCCGTGGGTTCAAGACCCGCCTGGGCAACTTGGCGAGACCTCATCTCTACAATAAATCAAAAAATTAGCCAAGCGTGGTAGCGCATGCCTGTAATTCTGGCTACTTGGAAGGCTGAGGCGGAAGGATTGCAGGAGCCCAGCAGGCAAGGCTGCGGTGGCCGGGAGCGGCCACTGCATTCCAGTCTGGGCCACCGAGTGAGACCCCAACTCAAAAAAAAAAAAAAATTAGCCGGGCATGGTAGCGCGCGCCTGTAGTTCCAGCTACTTGGAAGGTTGAGGTGGAAGGATCGCCGGAGCCCAGCAGGTCGAGGCTACAGTGGCCGGGAGCGGCACTGCACTCCAGTTTGGGTGACAGAGTGAGACTCCAACTCAAAAAAAAAAAAGAAAGCAAAAACTAAAAATATTATATTGTAAAAGGATAGGATGCACTGTAACCACTGTTTCAGCTTGGGTAGCCTGGAGTTTGCACACCCAAAGGGAGTTAGGAAAGCTCCTACATAGACAATATGACCGGGTGACCAAAAATTTCTTGGCAGCATCAGTGCCCTGGGGCATTGTGGGGAAGCCTGCTGTTCAGGATGTCTGGTTAAACTGGGCTCATATACTAGGGTGACTAGAGGATTTCCAGGCTGCCTGGTCCCTGAGGAGAGCCGTGGATGTGGCTCTTCCTAAAAAGCTGGGTGTTGGCTGGAGACAGGACAGAGTTCAGGGTATTGTTCACAACTTTCCCACTCTCTCCTCCAAAGTAGACAGAGCTGCAACTCCCTGTACTAGGGGAAACCCCCCAAAACCAGAATTTATTTATAAAAAATTGTGTATTTATTCTTACATGTTTAAACAGTCATCTTCACACACCCAAAGGGAGTGTCTGTCTGATGGATTACACCTATTGAGATCCTTTTTCCATTGCTCAAAACAGTATTTGAATTCATTTTTTATGCCATTCAGTCCTCCTGCGGATTTTTGTTTCACCTCTCCACATCAGCAGAACATTTCCCTTTGAGGACTTTTTTCACCCAGAAAAAATAAAAGTCACTCAGGGTGAGATCAGGTGAATAGGGAGGGTAGGGAATAGGGGTTATGACATTTTTGGTCGAAAACTGCTGAACACTCGGCATAGTGTGGGCAGGTTGTTCATACAAATTACCAGTCATGAAATAGGTAAATGTGTTGAAAGAATCTCCAAAAATTTACTAAAGCTGAATGCAGTCTCTCACAACAGCACTAGTTGGTACACTGATGCCAATGGGTTCCTAAAGCACTTGCCTAGAAGGGGATTATACTACAAGGGGCCCACCCTCAAAAAAAGGTCAGAATTGGAGACCAGAGATGCCACAGCAGGCTGAGAAAGGGGAGTAGGTTGCAAGAAAGAAGAAGTGTTTAAGTCTACCTGTAGAGCAATTAGCCCAGTACTTCCCACCCACCTACCCTTATAAGAGAAGAGAATTACATATACTCTGGAAAAATGAAAGCGGAGACTGAAATGTGTGAAGGAGCTGAGGGGTAAAGTAGAAGGAGGTTGTATCAAAGTCTGAAAACTGCACGTGAAAACATCCCCCTACCCTTTGCTCTTCAAGCACTACTTTGACTTTTGAAGGGTTAAATGCAGAAAAATACAAATTAATTTCTTAAAATAGTTCGTTGTGAAACTTGTGATCATAATGAAATAAAAATAAACACTGACACGATGCACTGTCTCAGGACACCTGCACACCTCTACACTTGAAGTGTGCTTAAAATAATATGGCATCCCTTGCATCTCCATTCCCTTTCCCTTTAACAAAAGTTTTTGTTCGGATTCTGTGTCACTGAGGGAACTGGGCAGTGTGCCTGGTGTAGGTTTGGGTTTTCATTCTTTGAGCCTCCCTAGGTAGAGAGCTGTTAAGGAAGTGTGCATTTTTAGAAGCAGGGAGACCTGACGCTTTGCATACAAATTTAGTTGGCTCAATGTTCTTGGGTGTGATACTTTGTAAAACTAATAGAAAATCCTTAAGTCTAAGTGTCATCTATTTTTAAATAGTATATGTGATTCAAGAAAATAGAAATAATTCTTTACACAGGTGAAAGAGGAGGACAAATTTTATTTTAAGCAAAATTGGAGGGCAGTTGCTTTCAAAAAATGGGAAGGAGGTATAATTCACATGCATTTTGGTGTGGGGTGGAAAATAGCCCCTTTTACAGGAAAACCCTAACCGGCACCTTTAAATGTGAAAGAACCTCCACCCCCTTCTCTAGGCTTGGTCTGTGTGAAAGAACCTCCACCCCCTTCTCTAGGCCTTGGTCTGGAAGAAGTAGATGGTATAAAAAGGAGGCTAAATAAATGTGCTGAATTTGGAGAATCTGTAGGTATCCCAGAAAGGGAGGTAGTTTGGGGAGCAGGGCTAAGAAGAGAAGTACCTCAGGAACTATGAAATGACCTGAGCCTCAGGAGGAGACAGCCCAGGAGAAATTACTGGAGGCCTGGAATGCGACTGAGAACTGTTATGTGCTGTTGAAATCCTCCATTACCCACTTCTTCCAAAGCTTCTGAAAATAGCAAGATGTAGCCGGGCTCAGTGGCTCAGCCTATAATCCCGCGCTTTGGGAGGCCGAGGTGAGTGAACTGCCTGAGCCTGCGGGTTCGAGACCCGCCTGGGCAACTTGGCGAGACCTCATCTCTACAATAAATCAAAAAATCAGCCGGGTGTGGTAGCTGCACCGGTAGTTCCAGCTACTCAGAAGGCTGAGGCGGAAGGATCGCCGGAGCCCAGCAGATCGAGGCTGCGGTAGACAGGAGCTGCCACTGCACTCCAGTGTGGGCAACAGAGTGAGACTCCAACTCAAAAAAAAAAAAAAATAGCAGGTTGTTATTTTGAAATTTACCCGTGTGGCTCTTGTTCCCAGCATTTCCTGTTCCCCATCCCCACTATCTCAGCTACAACATTCCATGAGGAGAAGGATGACATAGCAGGGCTCACAGATCAGATTCTTGACTTTTGACTTTTAAACTATTAGGATTCCAGTCATAAGTTATAGACTTAAAATAATATGTGATTAGTCAAAAACACTTCTTTCTGTATGACTACTGGAAACACAATGCAGGTCAGTTATAGGATAAACAGTGTTTGGGGGTTTTGTTTGTTTTTGTTATTTAATGATTACAGTAGACTTCTCTTCAGAAACAATGAAAGTCAGCGGATAATCTCTTTTTTTTTAAGAGTTGAGGTCTTGCTGTGTTGTCTAAACTGGTCTCAAACTCCTGGGCTCAAGCAGTCCTCTTACCTCAGCCTTCCAAAGTGCTAGGATTACAGGCGTGAGTCACTGCACCCAGCTGTTGGGGGATTTTTTTTGGTTTTGTTTCGTTGGGTTTTTTTTTTATTTTTTATTTTTTAGAGATGTTGCCCAGGCTGGAGGGTAGTGGCTATTCACAGGAACCCTTATAGTGCATTGCTGCCAAGTTCATGAAAAACAGTTCTTTCTGCCCCACACCTCTCTAGATATTCTTGAGAATGTGAAGGAGAAAAGTCAGAGAAAAGAGATAAGACTTTTCTTCAGTGTCTTTGAGGGATAGATCTGCTTCCTGTTTTCAGACCAACCCTGGGGAAAAAAGAAACTATCAAATCCCAAGAGGGTTTGAGGATCTGAAAGCAAAGCAAATCAGTGGCTTGCTTTCAAGGTAGGCAAGCTCTCCAACTTCCTCTTCCTCCCACAGGGTATAGATAGAGATGTCTGTGTTGTATGTCAGTACGTCAGGCCTCAGGCAGCCTCACCAAGTCCTGGAATACCCCAGGGTGCTGCAGGACTCTGTGAAATATATTCCTCTTTGGCCAAGAGTGGCGTAGAAGT